TTTTTTTTGTGCCTTGCACCCATCTCCTCACCTGCAAGGACTCTGGATTCTATATTATTGTTTGCACAGCCATAGACCCACCATAGATCATCCCCCTACAAAAGCAATGGTACTGGAACCTCCCTTATACTCCCTTTTTCTAAATATGAGATGGAAATAATAGTCCAGTTATTGATTATATCTTTATTTCAGGTGAGTTGCTAATGTAGCTGTCTCAGCCACAATTTCAAGTACAAATGCAATCTTTCTCTTCCAGTTATCTGCAAAGCAAGAACAGCAGTTTATCTGATCATGTAAAATGAGAGCACACCAAAATTAAAATGTGAAACCAAAAACCTTTTCTTTAGAAAGCAAATGGGCATACAAGAGGGAGGAAAGATCTACCATAAACTTTTGCAGAAAACTGCTATTTTTAAAAAATTTTATATAGTCTGTGAACAAAGTGGCACAACAGGAGTTTAAAACCTTTACAAAAGAAACAGAGTAAGTAAACAAATGGGGAAAATCACAGTAATGAGTGATTTTGAATGTGAATGATTTCTAAAATCCAATCCAGATTCTTTCACTCTTCAGTTATCCTAATTAAGCATTTATCCTTCATTAGTCATCAGACATCAGAACATGACCATAATACCTATATCTTCTTTTTTTTTTTCAAGAATAACAATTTCATGCTGAAAGACACATAAACTGTTACATTTCTGCACTTGCACTTCTCAAATTCTGTTATGAACGCATCTGCACAAGAAAACTAAAGGTTTTGACAACTGGCTCTTTAAGTTCTGCTGTGATTCTCTATGTCCAGAGGCTACAAGGGCCTTAGGCACCCCTCACCTGCAAGAGGAAGGCACTGCTCTGCTCATGTCCAAAACTGGGAAGAATTGGTCTGATTTCTGTCACAGATTTCCAACAACTGCAACACCAGAAGAGGGATACACTTAAAGTTACAGTCAAAGTGACTAAAATAGTCCCAGTAATCTGATAACAAAGCAAATGAGATTGACCAGAGAGAATCTTTTTCTAAGTTGCTTTTGTCCAATCTGTGAAAACGCATTTGCCATTTAGCCTGCACAGTTGAGATGCTGTGTTAGCTGTAAAACAAGAAAAGTTGTAAAACACAAGTCAGCATGCTAACAAATCTGAATGTCAAGAATCAAGTAAAAATAGAACTGTTTCATGAGCGAAGTGGTGACATTTATAGCATTTCTCATTAATTACAGGCCGTGGGGCTCTTTCATGAAGCTAAGTGTGGGAAATGCTAAGATGACTATGAAATCTTCAGAAAACAAACTTCACAACCAAAAATATGTAAAGAAAAGTGATACAGCCTTAAATAGAGCATTTTACCTTTCCAAATGGCCATTTTTCTGACCTTTAGAGGACATCTATGCAGTTAAGACAGACTCATATCTGAAGAAAATATTTAAATAGGCAAAAGAAAAGCAGGGCACAGTCCTCATAAGGTATTTGACATTTTTTTGAAATTTTTCTTAATGATCCAAAAACCTACAGCAGGGTACAAGATGACTATAGACTGAAATCTCAATAAACATTAACTGGGACTATTTCCATATTAACAGGACAAAAAGATTTCTGTATATCAGGAAATGTGAAACAAGTATGGAATCACAGAACCATTAAATTTGGAAAAGACCTCCAAGATCTGTTAATGTAACACTGCCATGTTGCTATCAAACCATGTCCCCAGGTGCCACATTCACTAGTGGCTTTTTGAATTGTTTCTGGGATGGTTCCTCCATCACTTCCCTGTGCAGCCTGTTTCAATGCTTGAACACCCTTTGAGTGAAGAAATTTTTCCTGTCATCCAATCCTCCTCAGGTGCAACTTGAGAACATTTCCTCTTGTTCCTATCATTTATTACTTGGAAGAAGAGACCAACTCCCACCTGGCTATAGCCTCCTTTCAGGGAATTGTAGAGAGGCATCTCCTGAGCTTCCATTTCTCCAGGCTAAACATGCCCAGCTCCAACAGTTACTCCTCCTCCAAACTGTGCTCCAGACCCTTCGCCAGCTCCCTTCTCTGAACACACTCCAGCACCTCAATGTCCTTCTTGTAGTGAGGGACCCAGAACTGGACACAAGATTTGAGGTGCAGCCTCACCAATGCCGAGTACATGAGGATGTCTGGTCGCTGGAGCCCACAAGAAAATAGTCACTCAGAATTTGAAGACACCATTAACTTCCTGTTCAGATGTAACTGAGCAAATCTCTCAGTGAAATCAGCAGGAAATCGTCCTAAATAAGCTGAGTAGCAAACTCAGGACTGAAAAATCAGATTTACTAAAGAAGAGAATAACACAATCTGCCGTTTGCACAGAATAAGTAGAAAATAGTTATATATACATATGCATACACACATAGATACTCTCAGTAATACTCCAGTGTAACCAGCATATATGCATACATTGTGAAGGAATTAATAACAGGCAAAATGAAAACTTCTAAAATTGGTTTTGTGCATTTTGCTGTAAATTCTAGATTACTGTGGGTTAAAAGAAAAGTTTAGGGATTTTTATTAAAACAAAAGATAATTCCCTTTCTCAAAATGGAGCATTGAGTTTTGAAGATAACTGCTTTTGGGTAGAATATGCTGTTACAATGCTTTGTATATATTAATGCAAATCACAGATGCTAGAGAGAATTAAAAAATTATTCCCAGAGAGATTAATCCAAAATTAAAATTTATTCTGCACCAAGTTAAATAGGCCATACTGTCAACTTCTTTGCCTATCACAAATAAAGTGTAATTTTAGACTCTGAATTTCTTGTATTCTTGTAATCGTGATGAGTGGTTTAACATATAGGTGCTGTAGTATTTCTATGGAATCCTTGTTTTATGCTATGTGCCATATGTGCTTTTTATACATGCTACATATGTACACATTAACTGTACATATTCCAATAACTTTATATAAAATGGTGCCAGTTTATAAGAAATGTTCCATTTTGATTCTGGAAACCATTTTTTCGCTTAACTTCAGACATTTTGCTATTCCTAGCAGTTCATCCTGCTGAAGGCTTTTGACTAATAAAATGAGTCACATTGAAATGCTGTAATACCCCCTCACCTCTACAGAAGCACTTATGCAAAACTTGCCCTTCTGTACCCCAAAATGTTTTCTTTTCCCCCTTAAGGAGGAGAACATCATCATACATATCCACAGTGACCCTGAGTGGAAGGAAAATCAACATGTGTTGTAGCTGTCAGTTTTACAACTGTGTGTTCAAAACACTCCAAACTAAAATTGCAAAAATATTCTCTAGAAAGAGGCTCAGTCTTCTTCCATCAGATGCCTCCACTCAAGTTCCAAATTTCAGCCATTAGCAGCAGCAGAAACACACAGAGGCAGATGGAAAAGTTGACCAAGCGGCTTCTAAATACACAGGGAAATAAAAGAGAAAAAACCTTCAGAGAAGACTGAGTTTTATTCAGCATTATCAGATTTGTTAAAATATTCACTCCAGCTTAAAACTTGAGTAAAGGAGGCTTCATTATTTTCTTGCCAGGACCTTCAAATAAAAGCAGTTGAACTCCACAGGACAGAGGAATCCTCAACATGCTGAGAGAAACCGCTTGTCTTTTCAGACCAGCAGAAAATGAGCCTGGTAATTATTTTGCACACCCTGATGGAGATCACAGCAAAACAGATGGCAATAATCAAGAGAGATGATGAATTTTAACTCTGAGGGCAGGTGGGGAGAAAAAAGGCAAGTCTTGGCACAGCAGGGAGAAGCAGTTCTTTGTGAAAAGACAGTGGAAACGCAAACTGCCTTATATGAAGCCACCAGCAATACGTGTCCCTGTTGTTTCTCCGGGTGGGTGTTTCTGGACGTGCAGCCAGGCATCGCCATCCAGCAGAGGGAAATGTGCACACCTCGTCCGACTTACACACCCACTCAGGCAGCTCTGCTGACAGCTCCTGCCTTAAGAGCCTTCCTGATTTGCTGTGCTGCCTGTAGCATCTCTTAGTCTGCTGAAGGAATCCCTGAAGTGAAACTCTTACCAAACTGGGAGCTGCTGCTCCTGGAGATGCGGCCATCCAGCCCCAACAGTCCTCAAAAGAAAACACATGCTTGATGTGCAGCTGAAGATAGAAACTTCAAAACAGATTACCTCAGCTTACTGTCTTCAAAGCAAAATCTATTCATCTTTGTGAATTAAGACATTCCTGTGTCAATTCCTCAATGTGAATTAAGACATTTCCCCTTGACAATTACCACTTGTTAAGAACTAATTGGTTTATGAACAACCTAAATAGCTTTTTATTATTCAGAAGAAATGTTTTGATACTTTACATCTAATAAAGGTAGTTTGTATAGATAAAACCTCCAGTTACTCATCTAAAATTTTATTTCTGTTGTTCATTCTATGTGGCGAGTAACGGAAACCTTAAAGCCAAATTTATGAAATAACTGTGTTTTAGAAATTAATTTTAACACAATTCTAATCAAATTATTTGTATAATCAAATGCATGGCTATGAAATTCTTGTTTACAGCCAACGAAAATGATTTGCAAAGAGTAATTTACACAGACACTTGTCTTAAAAAAAAAAAACAACTTGAATTTTTGCTTTAAATGCTATAAACAATGTATAGAGCTTTCTAGTAACCCACTATCAGTGGCTTATGGTTCAACTGAAAATTGTTCTGGTTTATTTCCTCTTGGTATAGGTAATTTATCAAGAGCATGGTTACAAATTCCTACAAAAACAAAATGTAGCTGCTGTGTAGAGCTTCAGTTAAGCTTGCCCATACAATTACAGAAGGAAATACATTTACAAGGTGTTTGTAGTCAATATTTCATATCACTCTAATAACTTTTTTCATTCCTCTCTGGAGATGAACACTTGGCATTGTCCTAGATTTTAGACATTGATTGTAATAAATTTTCAGGATTGTCTTCTCATGGAATTTTCCTCAATTGTGAAAAGTTTTTGTCCCCTTTTTCACTAAGCTGTATAGAATAAGACTTTCTGAACTGTCTAGAAGAGCCTCAGGAGTTAGTGTAGGAAGTACCACAATAAAGAATGAATGAATTTTATATAGAATAGTATATAGATATATAGATTAGATATAGATATAGATATAGATTTGATATAGATATAGATAGATATAGATAGATAGATAGATAGATAGATAGATAGATAGATAGATAGATAGATAGATAATGATTATTAGGTTAACATTTTTAGTCAAGAGCTCAAGCTTGAGAATAATCTGAGGTTTTCACTTTGCACATGCATGATTTAGCAGCAGGGATATGAAAAGAGAGCAGCTTTGGAGCAGGACCTAGACTTCCTGATTCTGATTCAGAGCTGCCTATAGATCCTCTGTGGAGTCAGTCCCAGAGCAGTATAAAATAGATTTTTCAATTAAGTTCCCATCAGACCAGTGTCCAGATCCAGCTTTGTTGTTTAGGTTGCTTTAAAGACGGATTTGTATCTGTTTTCCTTTCAAATGGAATCCAGCTCCTTAAGCCAGGAAATGTCGGGAGTCATCAATATTACTGATTTATGCAAATAGATTATTTGACAAATAACTCTGACTTTTCTCAAAACTGGAGGACTTTCTTTTTGGAAAGTTATCTTAAAGACATCTGTTTCTATCCTATTCATTGTCCTACTTATAGATAACCCCAAATAAAGGGTCCAGACAAGTTTCTCCAGGGTCTTTCCAGAGAGCACTGACGCAAAGCAGTCAAGTCTAACTCACAGTGGACACTTCATAGCATTCATCTGAGTGAGCTACTTTTCCATCTTCCTTCTGTGAAACTGAATCACAGTCAATAAACCACAAACACAGCCAAAGTAATGGCATTGATGAGAGACCACTCTAAAAAATAAAGGACAAGTTTTCCTTTCCTTGTGAAAGGAAGCCCTGTGCTTGGGAGAGTTGTAGAAGACACACGAAACATCAGAGCCCTGAATCTATTGTTCTTCTAATGATTCCTGATCATAATGTACACCTTCCAGGAAGAAGATCATTGTTTTGACAGGGCAGGTGCATCTATGATATGATGACAGGGCCCTAGATGGCTTGCTGGTTACTAATGAGCAGAGCCAAAGGAATGTGTCAGCTGATACAGGCTGGTAGACTATTTATTAGGTCACTGGATCTGTGCAAGAAACACATTATGTGTATTTATGCTACTAAACATCTAGTCTAAACACCTGCTTTTGTAAGCACTAGTCCATAAGCTGTTAGCCACAACAGGAATCTTCTTAAAAATTGCTTGTGTAGGACATGATTTTCTAACTGGAGTAAGGAGTGCTGTTTCCAATTCTGTAGTCTTGTTTACAAACACAAACAGCAGAAAGCAGTTATTTTAAACACAATTTAGTCAAGATTTCTCTTCAGTCTTGCTTCCACATTGCCTTT